CTCTTTCTTGAAGGATGGAAGAAATGATGGTGAATGGTGACAGAATGAATGAATGATACATAATTGCCTCAGAGACTGGCACCTAGATGCAGAGTCCTAAAAGGTTTTAGCCACACCTGTTCCCTGTCCCCACAGGTGCTGAGAGCCATGTCCATCCCTCTGACTTCTGTCCCTGAAGCCCCCTCAGGAGCCACGTCACTGGGCTGTTCTACTGTGAGAAGGTTTTCCAGGCTGCACTGCTCCTGCCCTGGGGCAGCTGTCGGCTTTTTGAAGTCACCTGTGACCACCCACTGCTCACCAAGGACTTTCTGCCTCTCTCTGCTCCTTCCGTGTCTCTTATGTGCTTCCTCCTTTATGCCAGATACATTGCCTAGCTCTGCTCTGCTTCCTCCACCAGGCAGTCTCCCCAGATTGTCCTTCTAACATCTGTGTCCAGGCCCACCCTCCCAGGCAATATGAGAGAACACAGAAAATAGTGGGTGCAGCAGGCCCAGTTCCATCATGAGCCAGTTTTCAGGTACCAGGAGAAAGAGCTTTTGCTGGGCCCTATCAGGGCTCCTTTTCTCCATGAGACCAACAAGAGAAACAGGCCACATGACAAGGACATGTAATCCAATGACGTAATCTCTACATGACTCAACCAGGGAATTAAAGGCAGAAGGACAGGTCTGAGTTCCCAAAAGCTCATGGGTTCACTTCACCCCTGACTGGTGACTCACACACACCCTTGTCCTGGTGTGAGACTCCCATTTCTCCCACTGGCTCCCGAGACCTTCCCAGGGTGGGCCTGGTGAACCTGCGCCATCTGACTGGTTCACTGCCTGTTTCACATGTGTGTCCTTATGAAGATCCACCAGCCACTCTGCTTTCTCTCAGTTGCTGCCCATTTTAATGAATATGACTACTATTCATTAATATGAATACTATTCATGTGACCTGCACAGTGGTGTAACCCCAGTTGTCTCCTGAGTTAGAAAGACAAGGAAGAGCATATGCCACATGCCCATGTGAGATCGCCTGCCTATCTGCCTGACTGTCCATAGAAACAGGGAGGCACCTACTTCCTAACTTTACTAACATGGCATGTCTTTTCTACCAATGTGGTGTCATACCTTTCTATAAATAGCAGAGACACCTGGACTCACTCCCACCTCACCCAAACCCCCAACACCCCCCGGCACTACCCGCCATCACTTCTGTTCTCTTAGCAGGACTCACCTTCTCTCTATCCCAGGGAGTCCCTCATTTTAAACCCACTGTAGCATCTTCTTTTGATCACAATGTGACCTGATTGGATGACAGAATTTGGTCTGTGACCTTCATGTTTTCAGACAGAAATTCCACCAAAAACTGGCATTAGAACTTCGGGGCATGAGTGATTTTCATAATTCTTTCATAGTTTAATTCAAAATCTATCCATAATTGCGAACACAAATGGTCCATGAGGGCCATATTTTCAGCAAGTTCATGCTCCTCGACCTTCCACTAGTCCCCCTTCTGTACATGCTATTGCTTGTGTGTTGAAGAAGGATCCCTGCCCTCTGCAGTGGCAGAAAGGACATTACAGACCAAGGTCAGAGAGCATGGCTCTGCTGTCACTGCCAGCCAGCTGCCCTGTCCCTCACTCTTGACTAAATCATGGACCTGTAGCCTGTGTAATTAATTGTCCACCAGAATTGCTTCTGGTCTCAAATGTATTGTTTCTGCTCAGACACCCAGTTCAGGGCCACACTGCCCAGTCCTCTCAGGATTTAAGGACTATGGGGTGGCCCATCATTACTCATCTCTACGTTTACCCTGGAATGTGAGGCTTTAGTGGAAATACATTTAGACCCAGCAATGAAGTTCTGTGTAGCTGGAAGGGACTCGGCACCTGCACATTCCAGGTGAGACCCCAAGATCAGCCAGCCAGTCAGCTGGTCAGTGAGGAGCCAGGACAGGTGGTGGGTGGTCTCTGATTCCCAGTCCTGTATCTTTCTGTGATCAAACCCTGATAGTTGTCTGATACCTGAGAAAGCCTGTGGTTTTTCTCCCAAACATAGAGCAGGTAGCCTTACAATCTCTGAGCGCTCAGCTCCTCATGCATTTGTTTCTCTTGTGATGCACAGACTTGCCTTATTTCTTTAAGAACTCTAGTTAGCTGAGAAGCACCAATTCTGATTGAAGAAGCCTTTAGAGGCCTCAATGGGCAATGTTCTTTCTGTTGTCTGCACAGTGGTGTTACCCAAACCTAACATCACAAGCAACAACTCCAACCCGAAGGAGCATAGGGACCCTGTTATGATAAAGTGTGAACCTCAGACTGAGAACACCACCTAACTGTGGTTGATCAACAGACAGAGTCTCCAGGACAGTGCCAGGCTGCAACTTTCCAAGGACAACAGGACTCTCACTTTACTCTTTGTCACACGGAATGACACAGGACCCTATGAGTGTGAAACCCAGAACCCTATGAGTGCCGGCCGCAGTGACCCATTCACCCTGAATGTTCTCTGTGAGTAACTTCTGTCCCTGCCTGGGCCAAGCTGCCCTCCCGAATCCACATTGCCAGAGACCAGGCCACATCCCTCCCTCTCAGGTCAATGGACAAAGACCCCTACAATGAACACCAAGGGTGGCCATCTGTTCCTGAACCAGGCACATCTGGGCATACTTGTCCTTGAGCCAAAACAGGGAGGGGATAGGATACTCCTGTCTGGAGAGGCTCAGAGTTAACAAGCTTTCATGGGACAAACAGGTTAATGTCTCAGACTCAGGCTCAGTGAACACAGGGGCTATGGTTGGGACTTTTTAAAACAAGACTGTGACCCAGCTCAGAGGGAGAGTGTGGCCCTTACACAGACCAGGACCTTCCCCTTCCCTCTGATTACATCATGTGTGGCTGTGTTCTCTCTGCTCCAGATGGCCTGGACGCCCCCATCATTTCCCCTCTGACTCCCATTTGTTCGTGGGACAAACCTCAGCCTCTCCTGCCAGGCAGCCTCTAACCCGCCTGCACAGTATTCTTGGTTTATCAATGGAGTTCCCAGAACACCAAATAGGATCTCTTTACCTTCAACATCACTTTGAATAATAGTGGATCTTATATCTGCTTTGCCTATAACTCTGTCACTGGCCTCAGTAGGAACATGATCAAGACTATCACAGTCTATGGTAAGTGCCTTCTGGACCATTGGCACCAGGCTGTGTGATGCAGGGCTGTCTGGTTTTCAGAACAGAGCCTAGAGGGTGTTATCTCCCATCCTATGGCCATGGACAAAAGCAAATCACAAAGTCTTCCCCTGAGCCCTCCCACTACATCTCTGTAGACTCCCCTCCCTTGCTCTTCTAATCTCTCATGGCAGAGCTGTGGTTCAAACTTGGAAAGTGAGGAGGGGGCTCTATCACCCTGAGAAAGAGTCAAGAGGTGGAGGGAGGAAGCTTCCCAGAGGGGAAAAACAAAGGTCTTCAAGGTCACGTTGCTTCTTCTGTCACTAACACTTTCCTTCTGTCATCTCTTCTCTGCTACCTGCTCCGTATGCTATAAGGAACTACAAGGCTTTGAACAAGCTCACCTCTTTTCCCCAAACTAAAGGAGGACACCACCTCTGAGGTGGGGTGAGCAGGACAGACCCCTGCACCGTGCTTTTCTCCAGGCTCACCTGGTGACTGGTTGCTCTGTGTCCTCTGTGGTGGGATAGTGGTCTGTGGTGATGGAGCATGGGTGGTCTGTCCTCTGACCGGCCAAATCATGTCACTCATCAACACCATGGCCTCCTTCAGACCAGACTGCAGGGAAATGGGGAGAGAGTGACCCACAGGGTAAACCCCTCTGTGACTCTGATGTCACCAGCTGAACAACACTGTGCGATACAAACCTATGGGACATTCCTACAGAGAGCATGAACAGTGGTGCTAACTTGACAAGTAGGTAGATTCATGGGACAGAAGGAGCAGTGCCACAAACTGTGTAGTTTACAGAGGAAGCTAAGAGTACCAGCCTTTTGTTAAAACTAACTATTTCTCTCTAGGGACTTCCTTCTCCCTGATATTCAAACCACAGGCCAGGAAGTGAACGTCCTATTCTGATGGAGAAATCTTTATATTAAAACTTCTCCAGGTCCTGCCAGGACCGGTTTGGCTCAATGGATAGAGCGTCGGCTTGGGGACTGAAGGGTCCCGGGTTCGATTCCGGTCAAGGGCATGTACCTTGGTTGAGGGCAGATCCCCAGTAGGGGGTGTGCAAGAGGCAGCTGATCGATGACTCTCTCTCATCGATGTTTCTAACTCTCTATCTCTCTCCCTTCCTCTCTGTACAAAATCAATAAAATATATTTAAAAAAAAAAAAAAAAAAAAAAAACTTCTCCAGGTCCTAAGGTCATGAAGACCTCTGGACTATATTCTCTAATAAATTATTTAACAAAAGGGAAATGCCTTCCCATCTCTGTGTGTAGCCACCATACCAGGGAGGGGGTGTGAGTGTTTAGAAAGTTACAAAAAGGCCCTAGCTGGTTTGGCTCAGTGGATGGAGCATTGCTCTGTGGGTTTGATTTGGGTCCAGGGCATATGCCTTTGTTGTGGGCACATCCCCAGTGGGAGGTGTTCAGGAGGCAGATGATTGATGTTTCTAACTCTCTATCCCTCTCCTTTCCTCTCTGTAAAAAATCAATGAAAGAAAATTTTAAAAAAGTTACAGAAAGGTCTAGGAAAGAGGCACACAAAAGGCAATGTGTGGAAAATGCCACCTGGTGATGAAGATGCTGGATACACGGTCTAAGGCTCCCGGTGCTATTACTCATATGTCCAGCAAGAGGTCAGGGGTCATCCTGAGATGATCTGGATGAAAGAGGGGAAGTATAGCCCTCTCCTTACAGACTGTCACCTGAACAAATGTCCTTATCCTACAGAGGTCAGAGTCATCCTCTGGTGACCTTTACAGAGATCACTGTGGACTGTGAGTGGCTGACATCTCTGAGGAAGGAGCCCACTCTCACTCAGTCACCTCCTCTGTCCTCCACAGAGCCAGTGGGAAAGCCCACCCTCCGAGCCAGCAATGCTGCCGTCACAGAGAATAAGGACACCGTGGTCCTGACCTGCCTCACAAATGACATGGATATCTCCATCCGGTGGCTCTTCAAGAACCAGAATCTCCTGCTCTCGGACAGGATGAAGCTGTCCCGGGACAACAGCACCCTCACCATCGACCCTGTCAGGAGGGAGGACGCTGGGGGTTATCAGTGTGAGGTCTTCAACCCCGTCAGTTCCGGCAAAAGTGACCCCTTCAGGCTGGATGTGCAATGTGAGTGACCCTTAACCCCTCCCACTTGCCTTTGTATATTTCACGGGCATGAGGGTGAGATGGATGAAAGCCTTAAGGAGGTGGGAGCTTCCCTCAGAGCCTATAGAGCACATGGGTAAGGACCCTAGGATTAGACTCATCTTGTCATTGTTTTGGCTCTATGAGTACTAGCTGTCTGACTACAGGGAAGGCTCTCACCCACCTGAGCCTCAGTTTCCTCATCTCTAAACTGGAATAACATGGTTTGACCTAAACACTGTTGTTAGCATATTTATTATGAGGTTAAAGAGTTACAGCCTTTAGCCAGGGTCATGCTCAGTCCGGACTCATTCAATGTAAATTATTTTTGGTATTTTTATGAACGCTGTTGTCAGTGAATGTAAAGTCAAGCAGAACTCGGTGAAAATGTTATCACTCACCAGCTCTGTGACCACCAGCCATTTATTAAGCACCTCCCATCCCTGATGTGCTCATGAGGGTGATACTTCCCATACCCATTGTGGGGGTGGAAGGATCAGATGATATGAAGGTAGAGTGTTTCCCACCCTGCCTGGACCATCAAAAACACTCAGCACATTCTAATTACTCATCAGCACTGAGTTGGCAGTTAAGGTGCCCGCTAAGACTGTCCATGGTGATGGAAAAGAAGAAACAGGGGTAAGAGACAGAATATGTGAGAGAAAGAGGAGTTAAGAGGAAAATTACCAGGACATGGGAATGGTGGGTGTGAGAATATAAGCTTAGTTACAGCAAATGGAAGGTTTCAAATGTGCAAACCGCAGAAGAATGCAACCTCCAGAAGTGGGGTGTCTGGAAGAAGGACACTTCTTCCAAACCGCACAGACTAGGTGGCAGTTCTGTCCTCCCTCACCAGGTCTCCCCCTGCAAGGCCCCTCCTGCTTTCCCCTGAATGGACTTGGGCCCTTACCCCTCCCCATTCCCTTTGCATTTCAGTAGAACAAACCTTCACGGACTACTCCGTGGTGGGCATCACTGGCATTGTTGGCATCGTGATCGGGGTCTTCGTCATGGTGGCTCTGGGGGCCTTTCTGGGCTATTGCCTGTACCTCAGGAGGACTAGGAGGTACCATGGCATTGCCTTCACCCTCACCCTAATCCTGTCCCCTGACCCAGACAGACCCCCAGCAGAGCCCAGGCCTGGAGGACAAAGACTTTGACCTCGGAGGGTTCTGGGCCAGCTCCCTGTGGCCTCCCAGCTTCCCCATGGATGTCCTTAATTCTCCATCCAGCTCCTCCCTCACCAGCTGCTGACCAGGGTAGTTTCCTCAACAGCTTCCTCACCTATAAATGAGGCATGATTAAAGAACTGTGCCCTCAGGACTGTCCTGGTTCTCCCCACACCTCCAGTGGTGCCAGCAGGTAGTAAGTGCTCAGTAAGGCACCTCCTGTTTTTCTAAGTTTACCCTCCGAGGTGAGGGGATGTGCTTCCTCAGGGTCTGAAAGTCATCCTGGCCAAGGACACACAGCTGAGGGTGGAAGAGCCTGGACAGGTTGGTGTGGTAACCACAACTCTGATGTTGAGACAGGAGGACAGCAGAGCCTGTGGTGTAGTTTTTGCCTCTAGGTCAGGTGGATGGAGACAGGACAGGTCACTGTCACAGTAGAGCCCCTTAGGCCTTAGGGATAGGTCTGGCCACAGCAGGGCACCACGCTCCTCTAGATGCTACATGAGGCTGGCTCTGCTGCCCCCTGAGCCCTTGACCTTTCCACTAAGTCAGACCCTCTGGATGGATTTCTGTCCATGTTCCTCAGTCTCCTCCCTATTACTCCTCCCAGACTCACACCTGCCTGTGGGTCCTTCCCCTGTGGGCCCAGGACAGCCCTGGATCCTTAAGGCCTTGCCTCAGTTCCTCTCTCCTGGGCCAGTCCCCCTAAACAGTGGAGAGAAGCCTCCACCCTCTGCTGGGAAAGGAGACCCTCCCTGCCCCCTGTTATGACACCAAAGCTCCCTGCACCCCTCACAAGTAAGTCTGACCTTTCCCAGGGCCAGTGACCCACGTGATCCCCAAGTGCACCCACCTCCAGCCGCCATCCCTGGTGAGTGTCTGTTCAGCCTGGAGCTCCTGGGCCTGCCCCACAGTAACCACCACTGCCCTTGTCCCTCAGACTCTGACCCTTCCCTAGGCTTCAAGTGGGATTCTCATCACCACTCTGCATAGGGGACCCCTACTCACCCGTCAACCTAACGTGTAGGCTGTGTCATGTGTCACCACTTCCCCCTCAATGGACCCTGAAATGGCAAGAGGCTCTTGCCCTGGGAGATGGCCTTTCACCCCTGGCTCTTGGGAGCTTAAGAACCACCCCCTCATGGGAGAACAGGCCAAAGCTTCCTCCTGTCTCTGCTCCCAGGCCAGGGTCCCACTGGAACAAGTGTCTTCCAGGTAAGTCCATCCCTTCCCTGTTCCCTCACCCAGGGCTCAGTGACCCACCCTCAGGGCAGGGGCACCATCCAACCTCACAAAATAGCACAGACCCCTTCCCCAGAAGAGCCAGCAGGGGAGCCCCGCCCTGGCCTGGTGAGGCCCCCAGTGAAGAGTGGACAGGGCAGGGCAGGAGTCTGAGGGGAGCACTGGAGTCCAGCACAGAGCAGAATAGGCACTGGGAGCACCAGTCAGAGGTTCCAGGCTAACAAGGGTGAGGGGGTGTAGTGTGGGCTGAGATTGGGGTTCTAGGCTACAGGTATGAAGACAGCTGCTCAGAAGGCAAAGCGGCCCTTTGTCCCTGTTATCTGATGCCCTCTCCCCCACCCCCCGCCCCTGCACAGGGCTCCCTACCTAACACCAAGACAGCAGGCCCCATCTACGAGGTGAGTGTGGGTTATGAAAGTTCTGTCCTGCTCCCCAGCCCTGGCTGTGCTTCAAGCTCAGGAAAGGGCAGTGAAAAGTGACAACAGAGGGTGAGAGGAGGGAGAAGCCTGGGAACAGACAGCCAAGCACAGTCAGCCCCCATGGCACCTGTGAATCATGGCACTTGTTCTGAGAAGGCTGCAGGGCTCACAGATCTTTCTTTGACAGGAATTACTCAAACCTAACACAGACGTGTACTGCCGGATCAGCCCCAGAGCAGACGTGGCTTCTTAGTTCCTCCAGGACCTGAGACCCCAGATACTGTGGGGGGACTGTGGAGGGGAGTCAGGAACTGGATGTGGTCTGCGCTAGAGAACCATCTCTGAGCATCATGCTAAGCAAAATAAGCCAGTGAGAGAAAGATAAATATCACATGATCTCAGTCAGTCATTGTAGAATATAATGAACAACATAAAATGATGAACAAAAGAGAGCCAGAGGTGGGAAAGTATTTTAGAATATAATAGTAGCAATCCTGTTATTGGTAGATTTTTAGTATTTCCTACAATGTTTGTGATATCATACTATGTTGTAATACAGTTTTGTTAATAATATTATACTTAAAATCTTATTTTCTTGAAATATTAATGTTTATTGCATATGATATTATATTAAGATCATTTTTCTTGAATAATTTGTTTATTGCATTTAACATTATTTTACTTAAAATAGATTCTCTTGAGATAAAAAATAAATAAATAAAATGCTGTAAAGAGATTGCTGAGAAGAAACCTAGCCATACAGAATTAAAATGGCTATAAATAAGTACCTCTCAATAATAACCTTAAATTTGTTTTTTTAATAAATCTTTATTGTTCATATTATTACAAATGTTCCTCATTTTTCTCCCTCCATTACTCCCCTCCATCAGTTTCCCACCCCACTCTCTGCCATTTCCCCACCCCCCATTGTCCTCATCCATAGGTACACAGTGTTTGTTCAGGCTCTTCCCGCACCCCCCACTCCCCTTTTCCCTGAAAAACAGTCCACTCCACTGATTCTATTATATTTACTAGTTAATATTGTTCATCAGGTTTTTTAATTCCCTTGGCTTTTAGTTTCACTTGTTGATAGTTATATATTTGTTGTTCATAATTTTTATCTATATCTTCTTCCTCTTCCTAAAGAACCCCTTTCAGCAATTCATATAATTTTGGTTTGGTGGTGATGAACTCCTTTAGCTTTTTTTTATTTCTGAAGCTCCTTATCTGGCCTTCAATTCTGAGTGATAGCTTTGCTGGGTAGAGTATTTTTGGCTGTAGGTTCTTGCTATTCATCACCTTGAATATTTCTTGCCATTCCCATCTGGCCTGCATGGTTTCTATTGAGAAATCAGCTGACAATCTTATGGGTGCTCCTTTATAGGTAACTACCTGCTTTTCTCTTGCTGCTTTTAATAATCTTTTTTTTTTTTCTTTAGCGCTTGGAATTTTAATTATGATTTGTCTTGGTGTGGTCCTCCTTGGATTACTTTTGTTTGGGGTTCTGTGCGCTTCCTGGACTTGTAAGACTATTTCTTTCACCAGGTGGCGGAAGTTTTCTGTCACTATTTCTTCCAGTATTCTTTTAGTATCTTGCTATCTCTCTTCTTCTGGGACCCCCATAATTCTGATGTTGGTTTGTTTGAAATTGTCCCAGAGGTTTCTTACACTATCTTCAACTTTCTGGATTCTCTTATCTTCTTGCTTCTGTGGAGGAGTGTCCTCTGGCTCTTTGTGTTCTAAATCTTTGACTTGATTCTTGTGATCTTCCATTCTGTTTTTAGGACTCTGTATAATATTTTTTATTTCAGACAATGTATTTTTTATTTCTAGTTGATCCCTTTTCATATCCTCATAGGTCTCATTTATTTTTATCGGCCTTTTCTAGGAAATTCTTGAAAAACATTATAAGCGTGGTTTCTATATCCAGTTGCTTCTTGTCCTCCATTTCTTTTGTTTGTGATCTGTTTCCTTGTCTTGGCATTTTCACAGCTTCCCTGAGTTGGTACAGTGGCTTTGTGTGCTAAGATGTCCTATATGGTTGAGTGAGTCAGACTCCCAGTTACCTGAGGTGGACAGTCTTGGTGTAGCCCTTTGTGGGCTGGGTGTGCAGTCTTGTTGTTAAGCCTTGCTTGTTGTTGGTATCACTGGG